AGTACCCTGCAACGCAACTCATACTAGGCGAACCATGTGTGCGTCGGGGTTTGAACCCAACTATCTCTTATGGAACCAATAATCATATTTTATTGATTAGTAGAAATGTATATAGTAATTTTTTATATTTTTGTCATTGAAAGTAAAAATTAAAAAAAATAATAAAAAAAGATAAATACTTTTGTAAAAATTCTTGATATTTTGGTATTTATATATAGATTATTTTTATTATAATAAATAAATAAATATTTTTTTTAATATATCACATACGAAAATCGTAAAAATAATACGTTGAGTTGAGACAAGAAAAATATATATATTTGATTCAAATACAAATTTGAATTATAGACAAATAAGATGTACTTATACTATGTAAAATCTAGTCTATAGACAAATGTATGTAAAATAGATTGTATTTGAGCACACTTTATAAAAAATCTTTAACCATGTATTGGCAGGTTATACTAAAATTAATTATGAGATATAAATTCACATTTCCATTCAGTGTGTCTTTGTTTGGCGAATTTGTTAGGATTTCTACTGTTCATTGAATTTTTTTTATTTAAATATCAAATCAAATATTTATTTTTTATTTTAATTAAATTTACATAATACTGTATAAATACCTATTTATATGATATGATATAATTATTTCAATTCAATTTTTTTACTACTAAATCCAGCTCAAAATCTAAATTTTCAAACAAACACACCGTGGACGCGTATCTTGAAAACATAGGACTTTATTATAACTTGACCCAAATCTCTATGGATCTTTTAAAATAACTAAATGACATTAAAATAATCAACTTGGAATCTTTAAATAATAATAATAGTAATGTTACGTTCATGTCGCATATAATATCCCAAATGCTTATGATTTCTTAATTAGTTTGATTAGATTAATGATGCTGACTTGCTTTGTAATAATCGTGGCTTTGGTGCAATGAAGTCAACATTTTTAGTAAAAATAATTATACATTAAGATTAAAATAATTAAATAGTTTAAGATAAAAAAATTATAAAATATAAAATTAAAAATATAATTAAAGTGTATAATTATATTTTTTTTAAAAAAAAATAACAAGTGAAACGGACGAGAATAAAAAATAAGAATAAATTATGTGGGACGGAAGGTGGAGTAATTAATAATCATATTAATTATTGAACGCTTCAATCTGATTTTAACGTCCATTTTATCCATTCAGAACATCTTTCAATAATAATAATAATAATAATAAGCATCATCGGCGCATTAATTATCAATTAAACACTTTAACACCGTAATTTAATATTGTCTGATTAGGACACAATAGTATTAAAATAAAAGCTGATCTCCTTTTCCATTATACATTGTAAACTCTTTAAAATATTATGATATTCATTATTTTCTACAATTTTTTTAATTAGGAAAGTTTGTTCTTTTCGTATTGAATTTGGAGCTAAAAAAAATATTCGTTAAACAATATTTGATTTGAGAAAAAAAAAAATTATTTTTTTGTTCTAACTTAAACTATTTCCTTAGTCCAAGTTAAATTGCCTAATTTAGTTTATACACGGAATTTTAGATATTGTGTAATTAAAAAGTGTATTAATTATGATTTAATAAAAATAATTATAAATTAAAATTAAAATGACTAAATAGTTTAATAAAAAAACCTCAAATTTTAAATTTTAAAATGTGATAAAAGTATATAATTATATTTTTTAAAAACATGACAAATTATATAGAACAAATGAAAATAGAAAGATGAGACAAATTAAGTGAGACGAAGTATTATTTTTATAAAATTCCCTTGTTCCATTTAAAATATTTCATTTTTTATTATAGTCAAATTAATTAGTCATTGATAATAAAATAATTTTAACTTTTACATAGATTAAAAATATACAATTTAATTATAAAAAAAAAATATAAAAAGACAAAAGTACCGCAATTAAAAAAAATACTACTATTACTTTTTAATTTATTAAAAAAAAAGAGTTCATTGAAGTGAAACGAAAAATATATTTTTAAGAACATAGAGTACATAAAATAAAAACTATGTAGAGACTGTATAAAAAACACACATGTATATTTTAAAGTAATCCTAAATGAAAAAAAAAATAATAATAAAATAAAATTGGTGAAACAATTAACTATAAATTGTAGCAACATGCAAGATGCATAGAAATTAATTCATTGATTTGATGGTCCGAATTATTTTGGTGATAATTAAAACATTTGAAGATACAATACAGACAAATGAGCATTCAGTTTATACCGTTTATCGTATAGATATGCTAACTATTACTACCAAAAATTAAATCTAAACGACTAACGAGTATATTTCCCTATTTTCATATAGTTAGCCAATCAACTTCTTCAGACATGTCCGTTTAAATATCATGTATTTGTTTCGTGAGTTGATTCATTTGTCAGTGAATAACGTCAAAGATAACGTATATACATGTGCGTCATTGTTAACTTTCGTGAGTTGATTCATTTGTTAGTGAATAACGTAAAAAATGACGTAAATAGGCGTGCGCAGGTGTCAACTTTCATGAGTTGATTCATTCGCCAATGAATAACGTCAAAAATGACGTAAATAAGTGTGCGCCGGTATTAACTTTTGTGAGTTGATTCATTTGTCAGTGAACAACATAAAAAATATAAATGTGCATGCGCCAGTGTTAATTTTGTTTCATTCTTTTACATTATTGTTTTTATAATGTCACAATATTAACTAAAAATTTGTCGTTCTCTTCGCAATATGCGGAGAATATTTGACGTAGTTCTCAAAGAGAAAATTATTATTTTTTATTATCTTCAAAGAGAAGGTGTATTTTAATTACAATTAATTATTTTACAAAGACTTGTTATAATGTCATTAATTTTTTTGTAGTTTAATTGGAGATAATTTTTTAGTTTTAAATTTTTTATTTTTACAAAATAAAAGCTTTTTTAAAAAAGTTTCCACTCATTTTTTCAGTAATTATGAATTAATTTTATTTGAATATGTTTGTCTTATTATTATTATTATTATTATTATTATTATTATTATTATATATTTAAAAATATAATTTATATATATACTTTTTTAAAAAATATTATTATCAATAATAACTTTTAATTTAAAAAATCAAAATCAAAATTAAAATCTATAAATATCGGTACTACGAAGTTTATTATTTTCTACAATTTTGTTATTAGAAAAATGTATTCTTTTCGTTTGAATTTGAAGAGTTGATTTTTTTTTAAATAATATTTGATATAATATGTTTTTAAAAAACTATATATATTTGAGAAGTGTGAATATTGTTGACATGAGTAGTTTATTCAATTGGATAGTGCACATTCTGAGAGACTTCTCATGAGGTCATTCATTCTCAAATTACTCTAGGGTAAGCCCCGAAAAAAAATTAGTATATTGTTGACATGAATAGTGTATATTCAATCAATTTAACCTATATTTAACTTCGTTTGTTCTGGCACCGGCTCATCCACGAAAGTTGACCTAGCACTTACTCAACTCCGGGATTATTGTAGTATACAAACACACACATGCTTTTTTTTTTTTTTTTCAAAATAATACTAAGCGGAAAAATGGTGAAACAATTACTTATAAATTGTAACTAATATGCATGATGCATTGAAACCATTTCATTGATTTGATGATCCGAATTAGGTTGGTGATGATTACAACATTCGAAGACACGATATGGACAAACAGACATTCAATTTCTATCGTTTATCGTTAAGATACGTTAATCGTAACGACTAAAAGATAGATTTAAATGATTAACGAATACGTGTTCTTATTTCAACATAAGTAGTCAATCAACTTCTTCAATTATGTCCGTCTGAATATTATTGCATTTACTTCGTACGTTGATTCACTTGTCAGTGAATAACGTCAAAAAATGACGCAAACATTCGTGCGCCGATATTAACTTTATTTCATTCAATAATTTTGTTTTTAGAATGTCGCATTATTAATTAAAAATTTGTCCCTCTCTCCCTAACATGCGAAGAATATTTGACGTAGTTACGCACCAAAAAAAAAAAAAAAGAAAAGAGAGAAATATAAGTGTAGAGTATTTTTACTACAATTTAATTATTTTACAAAGACTTCTTATAATTTCATTAATTATTTTTTTTAGCTTAATATTTAAAATCTTAATTTTTTAAATTTTTCCTAAGTAACCGCTATTTTTCAAATTAGTTCCACCTATTTTTTCAATATTAATTTTATTTTAACTTTTTTATCTTACTATTTTATTTAATATAAAATATAATTAAAAAATATACTTTTAATATATTACGTTTTAATTTTAAAAATTTAAATTTAAATAAAATCTATAAATAGACACACTGCAAATAAACGTGACCCCTCACGTCATCTGCTGACTCTATATACTCAAGTCGAGATCATCGGTGTCCAAGCACCGCTTCACCGATTATCATATTTAGGTCCCACCGACGCATACACCTGCGTTGCACCAGATCACAGCCCCGCGATCAAACAAAAAATATTACGAAATTACAATATTATATTATTTTCCGGAATAAAATTTTATTACAAGCCGATGGAGCAAAAAATTTAAATATAATGAAGTTACGAATACACCCTTATCAAAAATAAAAACTCGTCTCTACACTGCAGGGTATTTACGACAATTCAATAAACTCCACGGTCAAATTAAGGAGCTGGCGATTGGTAAAAAGGAAGCAGCCCCCGGGATTTGCTGAGGTGCCACGTCATCACGCCATACTTATTTTAACTCCATCGCTAAACAAGCGGACGGTCAAGATTGGGTTTCCTATCTTAATCGGACGGTGACGAAATACGTATTCTAGACACTTCTCCGGAATTAAGCGGCTATACATACTTGTAACTCTGGTTGAGTCAAGGTAACCGCAGTTGGCGCGTAAGCATTTAGTCAGTTAAAATCGAACATTCTAAAAAAAGAAAAGGTGACATAGGAGAAAAATTAAATAAATCGAAAATGAAATTAGAAAATGGAGCCGACTGGATTTAGCGCATCGATATATAACACAGAGAGTGGGGGGAAGAGCAGTAGAGGAAGTGTAAGGAGAGCAGCGAGGAGGAGGAGGAGGGAGAGGTTTTGGGTGGCTTGGCTGAAGCAATTGCTCGGTCGATCCTCGCCGCATAGCCTTTGGGTTGGACGTTCTCCCGACCGTTGGATTGTTCGATTATCGGCGGTTCATCTCAACGGTCTGGTAGCACTACACTGAGGAGGACGGGAGCGGATCAAGATTTCGTCAGATCTGGTGGTTTGGTGAGCTGATTTTCGGAATTTGTTTATTTGTTTTGCAATCTTGTTTTTGGGTGAATTTGATGTTCTCGACGTTTTTTTTATCGTGTTTGAGTGATGGCTCCTTGATTTAGGTTGGGCGGATTAATGCATTTGCTATTAGAATGTGAGTATGAATGTCATCGAGAATAGTGTTTGGATACTTCGAGTTTGAATTGGTTAACTTATTCGTTTTTAGATCCAGTGGATTATGCGGTTTTTGTTTGTATCGTGGATTTGGTTATTTTTCCTTTAAATAGTTCATTGTAATTGACCTTTGTTGTTGATATAAATATTGCTGTTTGCTTGCTTGCTGCAGACTTCACTTGGTGGTTTATCGATATTCTCGAGATGATAAATGGAGTAGTCTGTTATATCAAATTCATTAACGCATTCGTGTTTTCTTGGTAGCGAGAGTTTTTATTGAATTTGTTCATGAAATTATTCCACTTGATCCAGGAGTCTGTATTTTATATGAGACTTATTGTTGTCTTTCTCTTGCAGTTCTGGCTGCTGGAAACGATACATTAGCTTTCTTGAGGCCATTCTTGCTCAGAGGATTGTTCATTTCCGCCATTAGACCTCTCTCCGAAGGAGCTTCTGGACTGTCTGTAGCTGTTTCGGATTTTCAGCGAGTTTGTAGCGGTGCGCGGCTTGAGATTGGCGGTATCGATTGATGATCTTGATTGGATCGTAATTATTTGCTGGTCCAATCACAATTGGCTTCTGAGTTTGGCATTAAACTGAGAGTGAGCAGAATCGCTCTCTAGTTTCGCCATCTTTGCTGCTGGTTGTGAGAGGATCCACCTTCAGTCTTACTCTTCCTTTTACGTCTCCCAGCTTCGAAAGCCAAGTTCAAACTGAGATGGCTCTGGCAATTTTCAAGAGTTCATTTGGAAGTGGTGATTACAATGGAGCTACGAAACCAGAAGGCAAACCGACCGGCAGGAGACGTGTTTTTGTGCAGACAGAGACGGGCTGCGTTTTGGGGATGGAGCTGGACAGGAGCGACAATGCGCATACTGTGAAGAGGAGGTTACAGCTTGCTCTCAACTTCCCCATTGAGGAGAGCTCGTTGACCTTCGGCGACATGGTTCTGAAGAATGATTTGAGCGCCGTTCGAAATGACTCCCCCCTCCTGTTGACGAGGAATCTACTCCACAGAAGCTCTTCCACCCCATGTCTGTCACCGACCAATCGGGATATCGAACAGAAAGATCAGAGCGGACCGATTGAGATTTTAGGACATTCGTCCCACTTTGCAGCGACAAAACAGCTGGTTAAGGAGGTTGTCAAGGCCATGATGAGCGGCATTGATCCAATGCCTATTCGTAGTGGGCTCGGTGGGGCTTACTATTTCAGGAACGTCAGCGGCGAGAATGTTGCGATCATCAAGCCAACCGACGAAGAGCCTTTCGCCCCCAACAATCCAAAGGGCTTTGTCGGAAAGACTCTTGGACAGCCAGGCTTAAAGCGATCGGTCAGGGTTGGGGAGACGGGGTTCAGAGAGGTGGCGGCTTATCTTCTCGACTACGGTCACTTTGCAAACGTGCCGCCTACTGCGCTGGTGAAGATTACTCATTCGATCTTCAACGTGAACGATGGTGTGAATGGAAACAAATCTCAGAGCAAGGAGCTTGTGAGCAAGATCGCCTCGTTTCAGAAGTACATCCCGCACGATTTCGATGCTAGTGATTATGGTACTTCGAGCTTCCCCGTCTCCTCTGTGCATCGCATTGGAATTTTAGACATAAGAATCCTCAACACTGACAGGCACGGCGGGAATCTCTTGGTTAGGAAGCTCGACGGCATCGGCCAGTTTGGTCAAGTGGAACTGATTCCCATCGACCACGGCCTTTGCCTGCCGGAAACTTTAGAAGATCCCTACTTCGAATGGATTCATTGGCCGCAGGCCTCGATTCCATTCTCGGAAACCGAGCTCGACTACATTGCAAATCTTGATCCGGTGCGCGACGCCGAGATGCTCAGGAGGGAGCTCCCGGTGATACGGGATGCTTGTCTGCGCGTCTTACACCTCTGCACCGTTTTTCTGAAGGAAGCTGCTGCGGATGGGCTTTGTCTATCCGAGATCGGGGAGATGATGAGCCGTGAGTTTCAAACGGGCGAGGAGGAGCCTAGCGAGCTTGAGGTCATTTGTTTGGAGGCGAAACATCTCGTCGCCGAGGAGATAACATCTCCCAATGCCGAAGCGGATTCTGCCGATTTCCAGTTCGACATTGATTGCGACGAAAATGGGTACAACTTCGCCCACAAATTCACTTCCGAGGCCTTTCTGTCCTCCGGAGTGACGCCATTCCCCTTCGGTTTCGGCGCTCCGCTTGCCAAACTCGACGAAAGCTTCGAGGAAGATGAAAGCGACGGAGAGCAGGAGAAGGGGATTAGGATCGACAATCCAACGGTGGAGAACAGCTCGACTATCTCGAAACTGTCCATGCTGCTGCGGACCGCAAGCCTCGGCGAGAAGCACCACAAGTTCCCAAAGTGTTTTGGGCCCAAGGCCAACAAGAGTGTCGCGGTGAATTTGTCGTCGAGGAGCGCGAACGAGCAGCTTCCTGTCAGCGTTAGCTTCGTGAAGCTGGGAGACATGAACGACGAGGAATGGAAACTGTTTCTGGAGAAGTTCCGCGACCTGCTCAAACCCGCTTTCGACAAGAGAAAGTCGATCACTCTCGACGCCAGGCAGCGTCACAGGCTCGGGACTTCTTGCAAGTTTTGAGAGACCTAGTAGTAGAACAAGTGTACGCCATGAGAGACAGAGAAAGAGATATACAAATAAATAAAACCTGCAGAGGGGAGAAAAGTTAGTAGAGAGGAGAGAGAGAGAGAGAGAGAGAGGAGAGAGAGAGAGAGAGGTGTATATATTCTTTGAAAACAAGAACAGCCTCTATGGCTGTTGTAACGAGTGAGTGAGTGATAGGGATTTGGTTGTTTCTCTCTGCTGTTTGATAAATAAGTTGCAAGAAGAGAGAGAGTGAGAGAGAGAGAGGTCTGTCATTGTAGTAATCAGAGTCGAGTCTGTGTTGTGTTGTGTGTATAGTAAAAAAAAAAAAAAAACATGGATGCGGAATCCATTAACAAAACCTCACGAGTGTCTTCCCTTTGAATTTTTTTTTTTTTTTTCCGCAGCCGATACTCAAAGTGCATATTAGATAAATATTTGATCGAATCTAAATACTCTGCAAATTAAGTCCCACAAAGTAAATTAAACTAGTCGAATCATATGTAGCATGTAGATTTTTTTAAACTAGTCGAATCATATGTAGCATGTAGATTTTTTTCTTCTGTAATTTCTGTATAGTTGTGAAAAAGAATAGGATATAATTGTTACAATATATAGATTTTGATAAAATATTAAATATGTAGTTGAGATTTAAGTAAAATAAGATACGTAATTTGCAAATATAAAACATAATTACACGCATGATAGTAAACTTAGGTCTAACGCATCAATGTATAAAATATAGTTCCCATGCATGAATATGCAATCAATCACGTTTGTCTCTTATAATATTATATGAATGACTAATTTAAATGTCTTGCATGGAATGTATTTTACATGCACAAACTATATGATTATTAGCATAAGTAAATAAGTAAAGCGTATATAAAACGTTAAATAAAATACATGATAATGTGTTAGAGAATATATTTCATATGTACAAATATAAATCAATTATTTATTATATATATATATATATACATGCACAATGATCAATACGCCCTAGGCCAAACTATGCAAACTGTCACAAGTCCAATTCTTACAGCACCAGGTCATACAATAATAATAATTCTTTATTTATAAAGTGGGGTTGCGGGTTTGGCTATGAATTTAATATGATTTGCGAGCAAGAAATAGATTTAGTTAGTTAGGATTTAACAAGATATATTTGATTGGATAGAATTTAAGAATGAGTCTAAAATAATTAACAACCATCGGATAAGATATAAATTTGTATATATATATAGTAATTATCATATTATTATTATTAGTTGTTGTTAAATTTGAGGGATTCATATAAACTCTTTGGTATTTTTAAGAATATTGTACATAATTTCTAAAAAATTGTTGTTAAATTTGAGGGATCCATATAAACTCTTTGGTATTTTTAAGAATATTGTATATAATTTCTAAAAAAATAGATTTTGGCTAATATTTTTGAAAACATAAAAAATCTCATACTTTTTTTTTTTTTTTTTTTATCACAAGAAAGGATAGTACAAACATTCCAAACTATGAGTAGTTCCATTATAATCGCCACTACCTACCGAAAGAAACTCTTTAAAACTACTGCAATTATCTCAGTTCGTACTAGGTTTTTAAAATTGGGAGACATAAAAAAGAAGAGTAAGATTGAAAGTAAATGGATACTCTCACAACCAACACAAAAAGATGGAAACACAGTAGGTGTGTTTGTTTTGTGAGATTGGTAGAAAGAAAATATTTTTACGGAGGTATAGAGAATTGAGTAAGGAATAAAAAAATAATAAATATATAGTATTAATTTTTTTGAAAAAATGCGTGAGAAAAAAATAATTTGAAAAACAAACCCATTTTTTAAACATATTTTATTTTATTTTTCTAGTTGACAATTCTTTTGTGTCGTTGACCTAATATTTGAAAGATTTTCAAACCTTAATATCTTCTATTTTATGATACATGATGATGTTTCAATAGGCAAAGAAGGCATCAGTATCACTCTTATATATTTTATTACATACAACCTACAAATATATATATATATAGTATCGGATCACTCTTATATATTTTCTTAAAGCAATACTACAAAAAAGAAAGAGTAGAATAGTCTTTGTATTTAAATAGGTTCGTATATATTTTTTAAGCAACCCTACAAACAAGAAATTTAAAATCATTGATGTATCCAAAAATCACTCATACGTATTTTCTTGAAACCATCATGAAAAAAAAAAAAAAAAAAAAAAATCGGAAAAAAGAAATTGAAAAATCAAAGAAAAGAAGAGATAAAAAAAAGTTAGAAAAACTATAGTAGAGGAAATGAGGAAGAAGATCAAGAACAAAAAGGTTAGACGAATTGCTACAAACCTCCAATTCAGTAAATAAATATTAACAATTGTTTTTGGATGTGTTTCTTTAGGGGTTCAGGGAAATTTAAGTTTGAATTTAATTTTTATTTGAATTTTGAGTTGAATTTGAAAATTTTAATTTTTAGTTTGATGAGGAGTTTGGAGAATTTTGATAAGATTGATTTAACAAGTAATAAATATAATAATATAGAAATAGGCTAAAAAGGGTCAAAAGAGTTAAATCAACTCAATTGTCATATTTTGTATATCCCTAAGTTAATCTACTTATGAGCTAAGGTTTTTTGGGTTGTTAGGCGCCAAAGGTTCCTCATCCGTTGGCCTGATGACCGCAATGTTGTCGCCCTTGGCGTTCTTGAAAAAATATGTTTCAGCCCACCCTGAACCAGCGTTGGCTAAACCCCGCTCATCATGGCCTTCCTCACCTCCTTAACAAGTTGTTTCGTCATAGCTAGATAGATACACAAGATAATCCGCCAAGAAAAAGACTGCAGCAAGAAAGCAAGAAGCAAGCAAAAGAAGAGAAAAAGGAAGATGACATTGATGGATGTTGAGATATTTTAGATATTCAATTTTAGATTTAGTAGATTTATATCTAAATTTGATCTTTCATATATTAGATTACTTAGATTTTAATCGATCGAGTCTGTTTTGTATTGCCTATATATAGACTCATTATTTTGATGATAAAAAAGAAATTCTCATTATTTTCCCTCAAAATTTTTAATATGGTATCCGAGCCTATTTTCTCATGTCATAGATATAACCTACCAACCCGTGTTTCTCCCGGTACATTCAACCTGGATTTTACCCGGAGGTTTTGTAATTTTGAGATCATGTCTTTGCAAGTCTGTCTTTTTGCAAATCTGTCTTGTATGTGATCTGTCATCTGTCCGCTGTCGGTCTGTTACTACGTACAATTTGAAATATGTCTGCGATTCTGCGATCCGTCTACTTCGTTTTTCCAGAGATGTTTATGATTGCAATGAGAGTCTCGTTATTTCTGACCTTATGAAGAGTACTCCCGTCGTTTTTTACTCTAGTAGAAAGTCATGTCATTTTCGGTTCCGGTGGAGTCATCTCGTTTTCGACTCCGGTGGAGTCATATCGTTTTCGGCTCTAGTGGAGAGTCATCTCGTTTTTTGCTCCAGTGAAGTTATGTCATTTTCGACTCCAGTGGAGTCATGTCGTTTTCGGCTCCAGTAGAGTCATGTCGTTTTTTGCTCTGGTGGAGTCATCTCATTTTCGGCCATTTTGTTTTCGCCACCGGTGGAGTTATGTGGTTTTCGGTTCTGGTGGAGTCATGTGGTTTTCAGCTCCGGGTGGAGTCATCTCATTTTCGACTCCGGTGGAATCATGTGGTTTTCGGCTCCGGTTGAGTCATCTCATTTTCAACTCCGGTGGAGTCATGTCGTTTTCAACTCTGATGGAGTAATCTCGTTTTCGGCTCCAGTAGAGTCATCTCGTTTTCGGCTCCAATCGAGTCATGTCGTTTTTGCCTCTGGTGGAGTCATCTCGTTTTCGGCTCCGGTGAAGTCATGTCGTTTTCGACTCTGATGGAGTAATCTCGTTTTCGGCTCTGGTAAAGTCATGTCGTTTTAAGCTTCGGTGGAGTCATCTCGTTTTCGGCTCCGGTAAAGTCATGTCGTTTTAAGCTCCGGTAGAGTCATCTCGTTTTCGGCTCCGGTTGAGTCATGTGATTTTGAGCTCCGGTGGAGTCATCTCGTTTTTTACTCCGGTGGAGAGTTATCTCGTGTTCGGCTTCGGTGGAGAGTCATCTCGGCTTCGGTTTCGGTGGAGTCATTTCGTTTTTGGCTCCAGTGGAGAGTCATCTCGTTTTTTGCTCCGGTGGATGGAGAGTCAACTGGTAAATTTTATTTATGTTTTTTTTTTGCATTTATATTCAAATTTCTTATCAAACTCAAATTGGTTTATGTTATACCACTTGAGTTTGAGGGGATATTGAGATATTTTAGATATTCAGTTTTAGATTTAGTAGACTTATATCTAGATTTGATCTTATTCACATATTAGATTATTTAGATTTGAGTCTATCGAGTCTGTTTTGTATTACCTCTGTATAGGCTCTTTATTTTGATGATAAAAAAGACAATGTCATTATTTTCCCCCAAAATTTCTAACAATGGAAAACAAGAGCGGGGGGATTACTGAGCTGGACAACAGCTCGACTATCTCAAAGTTGCTTCGAGCCACAACCAAGTGTCCGGGCGAGGTTCACCCAAAGTCTTTTGGATCCAAAGCCGACAAGAACGAGGGGAATTTGTCATCGAACAAGCAGCTTCCTGTCAGCGGTTACTTTGTGATGTTAGGAGACATGAATGATGAAGAATGGAGGCAGTTTTTGGAGAAGTTCCGCCATTCATGTCTCCAAAAAGTCGACTCGGTACCACCACCACCACCACCACATAAATAAATAAATAAAATCTGAGAGGCCAGAGATAGAGGTGTAAAAATTCTTTGATAACAACGACGGCTGGCCGGTGCTGTTGTGCTGTCTGTGTAGTAAAAACAATATTGGATTTGGAATCCATTACCAGAACCTCGTCAATCCATTCCTTTTTTTTCTTCTCTAATTTCTGTGTGCCATTTCTGCAACTATCTCATACCTATCTATCTGTCTGTCTGCCTGCCTCTGAAAAAGAATGGTACGTACGTAATTGTTATAAGAGTTTAGAGTACGTAGAGTTTATAGTATAAAGAAATCAGGATTTTTTCATAACAAATTCAATCTATCGCTTCAAACTTTTAACCCAACTGGCTACTTTTAACCTGGCGACTAAATAAATTTCGGACAAATTTGCATATCATTTTATTATTATTATTATTTGTTACTTTAAAAAGTTTACACAATATGATTTTCAAAATTAATCTACGTTTTGCATGCTACATACATTAATGCCACACAGATAATACTCTACGCA